ACAACACTTTTATTTTATATATATATATATATATATATATATATATATATGCCTGTACAGAAATTCACATTTTATCCCCTTCTTGTGCAAATTAGACATTTGGTAAGATTAATTACCTCGCCTACCAAAAAGTACTCAAACTCTTAAGCTTTTAAAGCAAACCAACCCCACTCCTTTGGTAATTTATAGCCATTAATTAGAATCCATGTCCCCAAAATCTGAAAAGGTTAGGCTTCCATAATTACTAAGGAAAAACAGTATTTTTTCAGTTTAAAAGCAAGTAAATTTTATTTTCTGCCTTTCAACAAATAGTTTAAATTATGTTCTAGAAGGCTCTTGCCTTCATATAACACAGCCTACAGTGTGTGGGATGCAGGAGCCCTGGCAAAATAGAGCAAGGACTGGGACTCAGTGCTCAGGGAGCAAGGCGGTCCTTAAAAACCCAACCTGCCATACTGCCTCCTGCCTGCAGGGTACCTGCTCAGGAAAAGCCACCTCAACACCTCCAAGTTCACAGACAAGCATGACAAAAGGTACCGCATACACCCCGTAAATGACAAGGATACTGAATACATACCGCATATGCCATCATGTACTACGTACACTGGGGGCTGTGTACACACACAAATGACAAGGGATACATTGTACACATTGAATATGCTGTGGAGTATTATGAATACATTGTATAGGATACTGGATACTGTGTACACACCATCTATGACAAGGGATACATTGTATAGAATGAATATGTTGTGGAGTACTAAGTATACATTCTATAGGATACTGGATACTGTGTACACACTGTATATGACAAAGGATACATTGTACACAGTGAATATGCCGTAGATTAGTAAGTATACATTGTATAGGATATTGGATACTGTGTACTCGCCATCTATGACAAGAAGCACTGAGTACACATGACATATTACTGTTCACACACCTTACTGACACCAGGTACCATATACACACCACAAAAACCACCAGATACTGCATACACATCATATAGGGCACCGGGTACTGTACGCACCTGGCAAAATACACCAGATACAGTATACACACGTTAGAAGACACCAGATACCATGGAAGCATTGCATATGCCCAGCAAATGGTACACCACATACGACAACAGGTACCATGTCCACACTGCACAGAACATCGGGTATTACATACACATCATGTAGGACACCACAAACTGCATACACACAGTGAACGACACTACGTATTGTGTACACACCACATAAAATGCCAGGCATTGCATACACACCGTGCAGGACGCGAGGTGCTGCATATACCCAGCAAACGACACTGGATGCTGTGTACACACCACAGAGCAGATACTATGCACACACCTTTCTCGACTCATACCAGGTACACACCGCCGAGAACACCAGGTACTGCATACGCCCGGCCAACGACAGCGGGTACCGGGGACACATCCCAAGCGCCTCCACAGCCTGGCCAGGAGGCAAGCCTGAGAGGAGGCAGCGCCAGTGAAAGTTCGGGCCCCTGCCGCCCCCAGGGAGCCCCCCCACCCCAGCCGCAAGCACAGCAGCTTCCTCCCGAAGCTCTGGGTGGAAGGAAGCTAGTGGACCCTGCAGCACCGGCTCCGGGGCGCGCGAGGACCTGTTGAAGCGGCGGTGGCCTCGCTGCCCCGCTCGCCCGCAGCCCCCGGCC